GCTGCTCAGACACTAACTGCTTCCCCTCCCATCCACGGTCCTTCTAGGTCAAAAGCCGAGTACAAGGCAAAAGGGGCCTCACTCTACCTGGAATGCCTGGTAACTCACTGTCAGCTAGCCAAACATGTGCCATTACCTGATCACTCTGGCTGCCCAAGCTCCACCAGGTCCTCTTCGGGCAGCATCGTAATTCCCACGAGCATGGAAATACTTGTCAGCATTTGTATAGTTTGCCTCACGCATGTCCTGGTATGCTCTGAACATATCCCATGCCCCTGGGGAAAGCAGAGAAACAGAGATGATGTCAACCTTAACGAGACATCACAGAAATAGTTAAGTACCATTTCAGCCAGAAGCTGAAAGGCCCAAGGAGCAGTGACACAAAGAGGAACTCCTCCATCAACCTTTGCATGGGGGTTTGCCCACAGAAGGGGCCTGGGAGGCTGATCAAGGCCCGCTTCCAACAGCAGAAACCAGCAGGATCCCTAATGTGGAGCTACAGACCTTGCTCTGAGGTCTGTGTTCGCTGAACGCTGGTAAGCTGTGCCCAGGGAGGGTGTTCCTGAGACAGGCCTGTGGAGCAGCAGCTTACCTCCTATCGCATCCCAGACAAATTTTCCCCCTTCAATGAGGCCGGCATTTGCACACAGGACAAAGGAGAGCAGCAGGAGGCAGACGGCGAGCCTCATGGTTCCTGGCCCACGCCTGTGGGGCTGAGAGAGGAGAGAGGGGAGCAGCTGGGGAGCCCCGCTGCGAGACCAGAGGCCGCATCCCTCACAGCTGCCCTGGCGCCTGTGCCTAGCCCAGGAACCTGCTTCTCCCAACCAAAAAGTGATGCCCTCCGTGTGACCACAAGCTCACCTAAGGACTCCACAACAGAGCCAGATGGACATGAGAAACCTGCCTTCTGGCATTCCCTGCTGCTCCTGTCGTGAGCACAGCGGAGCCCCACAGGCTAGAGCATTGCTCCTGTTCCCCAGGACCAGCTACAAACACTGCAAGTTCAAGTATCACTCACCACTGCAGAAAGGCAAAGCCAAAGGAGATGGAGCTTGTCTTGTGTGCTCTCAGACTCACAGAGGGTATTTATAAACAATTCAAACCCCTCAAAAGAGGAAATTGGAAAAGACACCCATGGCTGGGAATTTCCCCCCCACACTTCCAACACAGAAAGTGTTATGGTAAGTCTGTCCCTGTCCTTGCTGAAAGTTCATGGCTCCTGTTACACAACTGTTCAGAAAGTACGTGGTGCTTCTTCAGCTGTCCATGGCACTGTTCAGTCCTCATTACAAGCAGGCCGAGAAACTGCTTTGAAGACTGGAGTGTTCCAGCTGGCTGATGGGTGACACCTTCAGCTCTTGAGCTGGACAGCTCGGAGGAGAAGGTGCCTCATTGCCTGCACTGTACATTGAAGCATAAGGTCGGGTCTGTGTCTGTTCATAAGGAATGCTCAGCTGCATTACCAGAATGGCTGCAGGAACTGCTAAGTGAAATTCCCAGCTGAGTGCTGGGATGACAAGATGGATTGCAGAGTTGATGGAATGGAAATTGTGAAGTACTGCTCCTCACTGCAAGACCAGCCACATACACCTACATGCCTGCTGCTGATGCTTTAAGATAGTGCATGCCCGTGCCACCAGAAGGAAGATCTGAGTGGTTTCTCCTGCCTTTGCTTGCTCTCACAGATCCTTCACAAGGGACTTCCAGCCCTTCTGCAATAGTAGCTCCATGGGACTCAAGTGAGCTAAACTAAAGGGAATTTTTGATGCAGCAGTAAACTTTTTACTTAAGGGGAAGTTCAGATCCATACATCCACAACTTTGCTAGATTTTAAGACCACTGTAAGAACTGTCAGGCCCTTCTGGCACAGTTCACAGTCTGAGTACCCACTGTGCTCCCTCTGATTAGGCCTCTCCTTGCTCCCCCCAGCTGACAACTGGCCCAGCTCTTTCCCCTGCAGAAAGCTCTGGGTTTGAGCATGGCTGTGCTGTAGAATAAACACACAGAATGTCTCCCCACCATGTGGTCTCATACATGAGGTAAGGAGTCTAAGAGAGCTTCACATGCCCTGCAGAAGAGGTATGTGTAGTTGTGTGTTCACTGACCAGTTAGTGCCTGCAGCTGAAGGGCAGAGGCACAAGATGAAAGAGGTGCAGTAACAACTGAGCCAACGCAGTGCCAGCAGCTAACCTTGGGCATCACCAGACTTCAAACAGGAATTTAGCTTAAGGGAAGAAGAGACTTTTCCTGCAGACAGGCCTGGGACAGCAGGAGAGAGATTGACTATGCTCTGTCTGAATGGAACTATCTGAGATGAGAATCTAAATCCTAGCCCAGTGGACAAGGAAAACTGGCAAAAAAGCAGGGGGCTTGACATGTCTTTGTCCCCCACCACCCATGAACTTGACGCTTCACAGTGTAACAGCCCAGTTACTGCAGAGACCGGAGTGCTGCCTCTGGCTGCAACTGTGTTCTCATCCCAGTGATGACTGACACCCTCACAGGACACGTCAGCTCAAGCGCCTTCTCTGCTGGCCTCCAGGAGCCCTGTCTGTCACCTTTGTGGTTTTGATTTAAAAAGAAAAACAAAGACAAACCACCAACAACTGGGAAATTACTCCTGCAAGCTGGAGTACAGGCTCACCAATGCATGTGCTGTTTTACCCAGGGACCTAGAACAGAACATTGCCTTCAAAAACTGACTTGAGAAACTTTTCCCTACTAGAGATCAGATATTTTGGATCATAGAGGATACTTCTGAGTCTTATGATGTGTTTCATTTTCTCTCCAGACCAAAATTTTCTGCAGAGAGCACAAATATGAGGATAACTGCAAGAAGGCAGGTGCCAGAGATGATGCTGAGAAGATCCAAGGTTGCATCTCCCTGACTTGTCTCCAACAAGAACAGCAGCAGTGACAGTAATGCTGGAGCTCCCTACAGTAACTGAGGGAAAGCATCAGCTTTGTGTTCAGCCAGTAGCAGCCCAAGCAGTGCTTTCCTGTGCCTCTTGGGTGAGCTGCTTTCCAGCTCACAGCCTTTGGCCCACAGAAACAAGCTCCTGCCAAAACTGTTGCTTTTGCAACAGAAAGTAGGCAAGCTGCCTCCGAGCCTGCAGACAGGTTTGAATGAAATATTCCTTTCCAGGGAAGTGCTAAAACACAGGGGACAGAGGACACGTGTTCTGAGTTTGTACATTCTGATGTAGAGATAAAAAGCAACCTCAAACTAGCTGCCCTTTAATTCTCAATATCTATAAATGCAAGCTACGTTCTGCAAACATTCTGCAGCGTCGTCATTGTGCAATCGAACCAAGTCTTGGATTGGGAAAGGGAATGAGGTGAATTCCCAGTTAGTCCTTACTTTTGGGAAGTTGTAGCACCTTACCCAAGTTTAACGGGCAATAATTCACTTCAGTTTTGCCAGGCTGCTGCCCAGAACATTTACTAGACTTACAGACATGTAGAACAACAGCAAACTTGGCCCCTCTTCAAGAAACAAATTGCACGTGCAGGTCTTTTTCTTAAATTTAATTCCCCACAGAGTTTTAACAATGATTCAAATAGAGAAATCATGTTTTGAGGCAGGTATGAGGCTTTTATATATTAAAAAAAACAAACAGTAACAATGCAACCAACACTGTTTCTACTTACAGTCACTCCAGGCAAATGTCCCTTTATTCATCTCTGCTTTTCAAGGGTCCCCTCCACCAAGTCAACCACCAAACCCAAGGATGAGGTGCAGCTCACCTGCTCCAGCACAGGCTGGCTTAAGGTCAGTGGTGACAGGCTGACAAGAGCTGGCAGGGGCTGTAGCTTTAGGATGAGGCATTGCTCTGTACAGCTGTAACTTGTAAACAGAGTAGCATTTCATGTCACACTCCCTTCACCTTACCTACATGAGATGAAAACACACCTATCAATAGAAACAGTAATTCTCCAACTCTTTATTGACAGCCTGTTGAAATTATCAACACAACTTTAGACACCAAATGTGAACAAACAGTTCCCATGATGTTAGTGGAGACCATTCTGACACAAAATTAAAAAAAGCTCCAAATGGAAAGTTACAATTTATTGTAATAAAAAAAAGAAGCCCCAACCCTCAATTCAAAGTTAACCAAGTGTACAAAAACCTCAAAGAGGGGTGAAAGAGACTGCTGTGTACACAAAATACATGGAGCAAATAAAGATGAACCATTACGTCCAGAGATAAGCCAAGTACATTCTTGGCAAGCCAGGCAACTTCCTCCAAGGAGGGGCAAGCTAGGCACAGCACCCACTGAAGCAGCAGCACACTCACTGGGCAGGGAAGAGAACAGGCACCAACACTGTGTGATCTGTGCAACCCTGCCACACGCTGCACGTGCCTGGCTCCTGGTCCAAGTCTCACTGTGAGATCATGGAGTGTTTCTGATAGAAGGGTCTGTGCTGTTCCCCATGCCAAAACCCAAACCCCAGAAGATTTCAGTTTTCTTTTTTAGAGGTAGCTCCGTAAAGGCTTTTCCACAAGCCACACTACTAGGGGATGAAAGCCTGCCACTAACTGTCTTCAACTGCAACTTCATTTCCACTAGTGAAGTAACAAACCCTCCACAATGAAGTCTTTCTTGCAATTGAGATGTAATAGTCAAGACTGCACCTCTCAAAAGTCTGAAAGTTGTATCACAGAATGTTAGGAGTTGGAAGGGATCCCCAGAGATCATCAAGTCCTATTACTGAGTCCTATTTTGATGCAAATAAACCCATAAAATACAGTAAAAAATAATCTTCTAAGGGAAATGACTAGGGAAATGGTCATCCCACTGGACTTGGCACTGGTGACCTCAGACACTGGGTGCAATTTTGGGCTCCTCCCTCCAAGGACATTGAGGTGCTGGAGCATGTCCAGAGAAGGGCAATGAAGCTGGTGAAGGCTCTAGAGCACAAGTCTGGTGAGGAGCAGTTGAGGGAGCTGGGGGTGCTGAGCCTGGAGCAAAGGAGGCTCAGGGGAGACCTTCTGGCTCTGCACAGCTCCTGACAGGAGCATGGAGCCAGGGGGGTGTCGGGCTCCTCTCCCAAGCAACAAGCAATAGGATGAAAGGAAACAGCCCCAAGTTGCACCAAGGGAGGTTTAGGTTGGAAATCAGGAAAAAATTATTGCCAGAAATGGTTGTCAAGCCCCGGAACAGGCTGCCCCGGGAAGTGGGTGAAATTCCATCCCCGGGCGTGTTTAAAAGTCATGCAGATGTGGTGCTTAGGAACATGGTTTAGAGGTGGACTTGGCAGTGCTGGGTTAACAGCTGAACTTCATCTTAGTGGCCTTTTCCAATGTAGAGGACTATGATTCTGATTCCATTGTCTTGATGTTTGTTGAAATGCCACAAGTGAGTCTACAGCCCGGCTGCACGAACAGATATGGGCAATTTGGAAATACTGTGCTTATAGTTCAACAGTGAGTTCACTTTACCATTTCATCTTTCAGTCAGCATTCTTAACCATTAATCCACTCCTGAGAGTAGTTCTCTCCCATTTTAAGACCTGGATCAATTAATGCATTTCTAATGGGTAAGATCAGCCCATATAATTTAAGTGAAAAAAAAACCCCAAACTCTTAACAAGCACTTCCACAGCAACTTGAAAAAGTCAATTCCATTTACAGGGAAATTAAACAAGTACAGGCTGAGATATTTCTGAGGAATGATGTCCCATG